TGGTCTGTGTTACGCCCATCGTTGCGTTATTTTGAAGCAAAATCACACGGAAAGGTCATTATCGTTTTTATGCCCCATTTCTCATTTCAACCTTGCTTCGTCTCTTTTCTAAATTCAATATTGAAAGATAATACCCCGGTGCTGAAAGTGTGTTTTATAAATTTTCAATTTAGTTTTCAATTAATCACTGCGGATGTGATTTCGGATTGATGTGGGTATACATTTAATTAATTTTAATTCAGTAAAAGTAGCTTCCTGTTTTTAGTTGTTTTCGTTAATTGTATTTTTGTAATTTTAATGAAATTAAAGCTTCAGCTTTCCATTTCATAGTATGAAGGCCGTGTCGATCGACTTCATATTCACATTTTATGGAAGGATGCGCTTTCATTCTGTTTCAAAGGGGGTTGATAGTTACAAACTGTTTTTTAAATGAATCACAGCACAGAATGAGACACAATTTAATAACTTTTGAGGTCTCTGATTTTATCTTGATAATTAAAACCAGATGAACTGAATACATTTAAATTAATACCCTGAACCAGATTTGGTGATAGTATTTTTAAGTTTAATCATATAAAAATTCCACTTTGAAGTCAGAAAAAAACATAATGTAAACAACTAGTCGTAATATTATAGCTCTAATTTCCACAGTCACGTGATTGATTTTTATTCTCGATTGTCATGGGTTGTTCTTGGGCTTCAGTACTCTTGAAATCTCAGCCAAAGAGAAACAAAGAAAAAGATAGTAGGAAGGGGAGGGGAGGGGGACGATGTTGGAATGGGGGAGAGGTAGAAGGGTGGAAGGGTCATGTCCTCTAGATCTATCAGATGACGTCAGCGCATATAGTTGACCCGATTGCCGGTTACTATAGCCATGTACATTACCATAACAGTGGGTTATTTTTGGCAAAAATCAAAATTGAGTGTTCTTGGGTCATATTCTGTCCTCGAACAATCAAGAATATAAACGAGGCGCTGGATTGAAGAGTATTTGGTTACCGTGGCAACAGATAGCCTCGAATCCCTCTGAGAATAACTCAATCTTGTATCTTCGCCACTCTCAGGCCTCTTCGCGCTCCGATACCGGCTCTAGATCTAAGCGTCTTATAGCTCGGTGTGCTGGGATAACAAGTCCGTCGGTTTAACACACGTAACGCCATTTTCAAACACTTTCTGCTTCCCTTGTGGAAACACTTAACAATCCGACATTCCAAAGTGGAATAGGTGGCAGACGATAAAATCAAATTGATTTTTTTCTTTTAACAATGCGTCGAGAAACAAGTTGTTTAATTCACTCCTTTAAAAAAAGACTTCCATTATCAGCATGTTGTTTGGTTCCATTGCTGTTGGGCACTTTGAAGAAGCAGATAATTTGTGATGGTTACGCACCGATTGATTTTGTATTAACAATATGATCTTTGTCGCGTACTCATGGACTCCTGATTCAATCAAGAGATGTACTGTTATGTTTGATTGCGGGTGATTGACCCGCCTATACCAACAATAGCCCCAAGGAGCGTTGGGGTAGCCTGGTGGTTGAAGTGGTCGTTCGTCACGTCGATGAACTGGGTTCGAATTTCTACACATCGACCTTATAACACACACACCTTATCCAGAGGGTATGTGCACCCATTGCAACTCACCCAAACATCGACCTTATAACACACACACCTTATCCAGAGGGTATGTGCTCCCATTGCAACTCACCCAAACATCGACCTTAAAACACACACACCTTATCCAGAGGGTATGTGCTCCCATTGCAACTCACCCAAACATCGACCTCATAACACACACCTTATCCAGAGAGTATATGCACCCATTGCAACTCGCCTGAAAACAACCTTCTTACAAACGCGCGCACACACGCACGCACATACACACGCACGCACGCACACACGCGCACATACTCCAACACACGCACGCGCACACACCAATACACATATATACACACACCTTTTCGAGAGAATACGTGTTCCTAACTCGACCAAACATCGACCGTCGAACACACACACTGTTTTACAAATAAGCTGTTACCGCGTTTCCAGATAGTGTTGAAATATTGCTACCGCTTAGAGTTCGAACAAATCACTGCCCGCAACCCCCTTCATTCTCTCTGTACCTAGTTATATTTAATGTAAAGTCGAAAACCTATTTTAGAAATAATAATTTAAGTTAAAAGGACCTTTTGGTGCGTTGCCGACCGTTTTTTAATCACGTTACGTATCATAACTTAGAACGGCGGGCGTGGTTAGCTTGACATTTTTATACTTCTGCTTCCTGTCACGGCTCCCACAGCTCCCCTAGTTATGATCGAAGTACGCCATGCTCATATGAATATTCTATTTTGTAGCAAATGGTTTCATTTACCGATCATTCAAGCACAATATCATTTCCGCACAAGCTATGTGAAGCCGCCATTTTAAAACTGAAATTCATTCTGCGATGCCTGTCACCGCTATGTGTTGATATGATATTTAATTCCCAGCTTGTTAAATGGATATATAATCAATATTGGTTACAAATTTGGAATATTAAATTTCACACATCTGCCCCATGCAAAGCGACAGCTGTGGTGTACATGACGACCCAGGCGTTCTGGGTTAAAAGCATTCGTTTACTGCCCGATTAATATGTGGACCTTCGCGTACATATATGTGTATATTACACAAGATATATCTACGCATCTTGTTATTTATTTGTTTCGTAAACAAACATTCAACGCTAAATACATTGCATTGTCATACCACCATTAAGGATCTTGCAATTCTTTTAGTAAATCCGTACCACGTGACGAAACAATACATTGCAATGTTGGCCCAAAACATGTGTCTGACACTGACCTCGAGAACATTGACTCGTCACATGATCAGTATTGACCTGTCACGTGATGGATATTGATCGTCTGGGATGGCGACTGGGATACAAACCATTCGTCACCACTCGCCTCTTTCCGTAACCTGCAAGAAGCGCTATTCGGCTTGTCCCGGAATAACACGAGTTGGAATTAGTCACGAATGGGGTACTAACATTTTACGATTCGTAGCTACGTTACTGTAATGAAACAGAGGATGGTTTAAAGAATTCATAAACTTTAAAGTAAATTTCGGTAAAACCAAACGGACGATTGCCCTTGTTGAGGTCAGTATTTAAAAACAAGTGTCCTCGGACCCGATCCCTTCGGCGGTCCTCGGGTCCTTGTTTTCGCATGAATGTCCTCGCCTTGAGTAATTATTTGTATAATAATAATTGTGGTTTAAAGTACTTCATGATTCGGTTTAATTAACGTCACACATTTAAACCTAGCGTATTTCAACTGCCGGGTCACTGGTCTTTGTAACGGTGAACCTGTGGATTGTGAAGCTACATTGGTCCATTGGTTAATGCGTTCGCTCGTCACGTCGAATGCCCGGGTTCGATTCCCCTATGGATACAATCTGTGAAGACCATTTCTGGTGTCCCCCGCCGTGATATTGCTTGAATGTTGCTGAAATCGGTGTTCCAGAAATCCATACTCACTCACCGACTACAAGAAATACTCATATTTATTGCGCTTCAGTGAGTGAGTGAGTATGGTTTAACGCCGCTTTTAGCAATATTCCAGCAATATCACGGCGGGGGACACCAGAAATGGGCTTCACATATTGTACCCATGTCGGGAATCGAACCCGGTCTTCGGCGTGACGAGCGAACGCTTTAACCACTAGGCTACCCGATCGCCCCTATTGCGCTTCAGGCCTGTGATCAAAATACATGGAAAATTAACACAACGTGTCAAGTACACAGGGTAGAGGATTGGTATCAAGAGCTACATTGAAGGACATCATGGGACGCTTTCCTTTGTCCCTTCATCTGAGGAGGCACGGTTGGTCCGGGGGGTGTGGGCATTATAAAAATCGTCAGCAAATTACAACCAAGTGTGCTGTCGGGATCAAAGTTGAGAACTGTCCCCAGCAACCCATGCTTGTCGAAAGACGCGAGTTGATGGGTCGGGTGGCAAGACACGGTGACAACGTACCAGGACAGCGTGGGTCGTTGCTCATAATATCAATCACTGGTTTGCCTGGTCGCGATTCATGTATTTACAGGCAGCCGTCATATAGCTGTAATATTGATGAGTGCGACGTTAAACTCAAAATGCAATTATACGTATCTAATGAAGTAAGAGGTTGTCGCACGCCATGATGGAACTTCTATTTGCGAGTACTTTTTCGATGTTGATGTCCAATTTTAGACGTTTATGCATGCTTTGATATTTAATTTCAAGATTTAATCATACTAAACCATAAAAATGCTAGCGGGTTATTTTTTTCTGCTTATTTTGAGCTTTATCGCCCGAGTTTGCAAATAGTTATGGTGTCGCGTGCGGCTTAATAAGTAGCATCAACCAAACATAGCGGATTCGTGTCCGGCATAAGTTACCCGAACCTTCAGCAAAGCATCAAACCCGTGAAGACCCGGGTAGAATAGGTCTTCAGCAACCCATGCTTGCGTAAATGGCTACTATGCTTGTTGTAAGAGCCGACTAACGGGATCGGGTGGTCAGGCTCGCTGACTTGGTTGATGCATTTCATCGTATCCCAATTGGTAAGTTCGATGCTCATGATGTCAATCACTGGATTGTCTGGTCCAGACTCGATTATTTACAGACCGCCGTCATATAGCTGGAATATTGCTGAGTGTGGCGTTAAACAACAAAACATAATAGGCGTGGAACTAGTGCAGATATATTCTAATTAGCTGTGAAGAATTGCTTCTCCTTGTGCAAGTTCCTGGTGATCGTGGCGCGAATCTGGGGCGTGGGTTCGAATCCCAGATTCACCCTTGATTCCTGGATGGTCGCCACCAAAACGGTTTCATGAAAGACCTGCACCAACTTAAGTTTTCTTCCCACACTAAGATGGCACCCCAAGATGTGACAGGAATTCTGTTCAAAGCATTGTCAACTCACTCACTCACTCACTCACTCACTCACTCACTGTATTCCTTATCTGTTTCAGCGCGGCTTGACGGAGTAAAAACATACATGGAGTTGAGACGGGTTCCTTTAAAACTTCAGGATCGAGTGATAAAGTGGTTCGATTACTTGTGGATGTGCAATAAATCTAGTGATGAAGAAAAGAACCTTGGCTTATTACCGGATAAGTTAAAAGCTGAGATAGCCATTCATGTACACCTGGACACGTTGAAACGGGTGGAGATCTTCCAGGCCACGGAGGCTGGCTTTCTGTGTGAGCTTGTGCTCCGTCTCAGACCCGTGCTATTTTCCCCCGGAGATTATATATGCAGAAAAGGTAAGTGTATATTAAATATTCTACACGTTCCCTTTTTTCCCCATTACAAATAAAATGGAAATGATTCCGTGGAACCCGAGCAATGGATTGTTCCATATAGACCACGCCCACTAACGGAATACTGTTTCCTGATTGGATGATAATTGAATGGGCGGGACTTATTGTTGTATTAGACCACGTCCACTAACGGAATACTGTTTCCTGATTGGGTGATAATTGAATGGGCGGGGTTTATGTTCTATTAGACCACGCCTACTAACGGAATACTGTTTTCTGATTGGATGATTATTGAATGGGCGGGGCTTATGTTGTATTATTACGCTGAATGATGTCACTGATTTCGTGTTGTTGTCTACAGTTTGTTTTGTGTTGATTAAGCAGTCTGTCAAGTTATTATTGTTGATGTTTATTTTACTTTTACAGGTAAAACATACAAATCTGTATGCACACTTTCATACTTTTACACCTCCATAAACGCAAACAATATATATATATATGTTGGGTATTCTACAACCTTAGGCCACATACAAAAATTCCTCGTTTCTCATCAAAAAATTTCTTATATAATCTGTCGAATTTTAATATCATTGGTTGCTAATAAAAGTCCAACATGTTATTTATAACACGTAAAATGCGGAAACGGAACCGAAATATGCATGGGAAAATATTTTTTGAAAATACTGGTCGAGTCACATTTTAGGGTCGGAAGGTGATGAGAGACGGGCATTTTGTATGTGGCTTATATTTTTTTAAACTAACCCAGAGAATACAGAGGCTTCAGTGATTCATTATCTCATCATACTATGCGTATCTGTTTAGATATGTACTTTTCTTCAAAACCCTAAAAGGGCTGGAATCGGCGAACTCTGACGCCCTCGTTTATTCAGTCTCCATTCTTTGAGGGTTAACATGAATATATAAAGGATTTTGCTGCTTGTTTTCAATTATCTAACCTGTACCATTCACAACCAAAACTTCATACTGGAATTAACGTTATCAACTTCACCTGGTTAACTTCCAACTGTATTTCTCTCGCACATGGGTGTAATTTGATTGGACGCAAAACAAAGCTCTATTACATTAGAATGGAGGTCATGCACTGGGTGATGGAGGCTGGTCCTCTGCCAGGTGATGCTAGATGCAGAATCTCACCTAATCTTCCTGAGTGAAGGGAGTTAACTGACTATAAAAGTCCAGTTTCCACCCTTGCCGAACTAGGCTGGAATTTCGTGGCTCGAGAGGCAATTACGAGTTATTTCCCTTCTATGTCCCTCCTATTGACCTATCAGAGCCAACCTTTCCTATAACTTGCAGTTCTTCAAACAAAATGGCAGTGCCCAGTCCAGACGATCTGATCAATAATTCAGATCTTTATTGTAATGAAATGGGTCTTCACTCGCGAAGCATCCAATCACCTGACCCCTTGATTATAAACATGAAAAAAATGGTTAAAACATCTGTTGACGCACAGTTGATGGTACACATGCTCTTCAAATCCTGCAATCGACCAGAATCTGCATGGCAGCCGCCATGTTGCTTATGAAGCCAATGTCGATTCGTTCCGCGATTTTGATTGGACTATGCATAGACTCGTTTGTCCAGCTAAAATATAACTCTTTAATTCCAGCCTAGTTCGGCAAGGGTAGAAACTGGACTTTTAAAGTCAGTTAACTCCCTTGCCTCTGGAAGATGAATCTCACCTGTATTCGGCATATTAATCATATTTGCATATTCATATTATGTATTATATTTGTATTATTTCACTGTTTATATAGTGTATGGTATTTGTACAATGTTGTCAAAAATTTATAATTTCATCATTTTCAACAACATGTAAGCAAGATTGACATTCGGAAACAATAGTTAAAATCTATTGTATTAACGCAAGTGACATGGATTGGTTCTTACCGATTAGAAAACCCCTCTCCATATTCATTATACAATAATTATTTCATGATGAAACATACAAAGAAACAGGGACTGAAAAAATGGGTGATAGTAAAAAGAATTTATATACGACCTGGTTCAAAGTTACACAAATCGTTCAGTCTTATCTATGCAGTGATGCACAGCTTAAAACCATCGGCGCATCTTTCCTTGTGGTCAGATCAGAAATGCCCTTCTAATCACCATTCAAAGTTTGCTTTTCAGAACTATAACTCATGTTAAAGTGCCTTGTCTGAGTGAGTGAGTGAGTTTGGTTTTACGCCGCTTGCAGCAATATTCCAGCACTGATATCACGGCGGAGAACACCAGAAATGGGCTTCACACATTGTACCCATGTCGGGAATCGAACACGGGTCTTCGGCGTGACGAGCGAACGCTTGAACCACTAGGCTACCCGACCGCCCCGCCTTGTCTGAAACCAACGTGTGACGTCAACATTGGATCCGCTATCTCCGATATCTCCACTATGTACCGATATCTCGAACCTATTCTCGCTCTCGACCGCCTCACTATACAAATACATATAAATGTGTTATCTCGAATTCCAAATTAAAATACATAGCGATCTCTCGAACCTTGGACTCGGTCCCAACTTGGCTTTACTATAGAATTTTGTACCGTTATCTCGAAGGTGGCCTTTGCCACATCACATGTATCGAGAAGCGCAAGTAAGCGAGGAGGTGAACATTTCCCTAGATATGTGTAGTACCTTTCCTCACCCCGGGGTTGGTCAGGAAGCCTAGTGGTTAAAGCGTTCGCTCGTCACGCCTAAGACCGGGTTCGATTCCCGACATGGGTACAATGTGTGAAGCCCATTTCTGGTGTCCCCCGCCCTGATATTGCTGGAATATTGCTAAAAGCGGCGTTAAACCATACTCACTCACACACTTTCCTCACACCGCCATAGAGTATCGCTGTAAAAGTACAATGCAATTTGAACCAACTGTTCAACCAATTCAGTACGGTTTTTATCCATTTGTAAATGGTAATCGTTACTGACAAATAAATCACCGTAGTAGATAAGAGTAAAAAAATGGCGTCACTTCCTGGTTTCATCGAAATGTATGTATATACATGATGTTATGATTACACATGATAGGAGCAACGTACAATGGTAATTGATTGTTATGTAGACCGCTATGGTGCCGTTCCAATCAGGGGCTTGTTTTCCTGTATGCATTATTTTCATTGAACACAGAAATCTGAAATATCCCTATGTGATCCGATGTATATTTTATTTAAAATAAATACCTGAAAAACCTCCACACGTAAAGCTACGGGTTAGATCGCCAACGTGTAGGTGTTTGGGTTGCTTGTCATCGTACCCCAATTGCGTTGGACAATGCCCTTTATATCAAACACTGGACCAAACCCGATTATTCACTGTCCACTAGGATATAAATAGAATATAGAGCAGCGTTAAACAACCAACGAAAAAAAATCCTCATACACGCCGATTCCCTGAATGTCGTTCCCTGGCAACAAATGTCTTGTTTGATCCGGCTGCTTGTGACCTTGACCTTGACCGTGACCTTGACACCCGAGCCAAGGTATAATCTCGGTAAAAGATCAAGCAGTGTGTATCCGATTGAGATCCGGGGTTTCTGACACCCTTCTCATGCTGATCGTTCGTCAAATGTAGAGCCGATATGCAATCATAATCGCGCTCGCTTGTCTAGTAAATAACACTGAGACTCGTCTCTATATTCGTATTGCACACACCTCTATACGTGAGGTGTTATAAATCAGTTATACCATCATACACAAGCTTCTCTCAGGCCTCTGATTGATTCTCCTGCCAAATTGAATCCTGAAGACGTTGTGCCAGAAAACATTCAACAGAAGTAAATGAAGTGTGTTGGTTTGGAGCCGATACAAACATTTCAGTGACACCGCGGTATCAATTCAGTTCAGCTCAGTTACAATGCTGATGTAATAATACTGCATATGTGTATAGGAGGTGTTATGGCATGTACATATTGATAATCACATAAATTTACTTAGTAGTATAAATGCATGATGGCTAAACAGAGCTGCTTGATATATTGTTTTATTGTTATTTGATAAGGACGAGAAAGTATGGAGTGAGTGAGTGAGTGAGTATGGTTTTACGCCGCTTTTAGCAATATTCCAGCAATATCACGACGGGGGACACCAGAAATGGGCTTCACACAATGTACCCATGTCGGGAATCGAACCCGGGTCTTCGGCGTGACGAGCGAACGCTTTAACCACTAGGCTACCCGACCGTCCCAGAAAGTATGGAGACATGTAACTGAATGAAACCTTTCCAAACTATTGAATTCTTTCGTATATACAGGACAAATAAATATGACATGAAATTCATCTTCCTCAACAAATATGGCAAATTCTTAAAGTTATTTTTTTTACAATATCGCCCCTATTTACTAAACTGTCATTCAGCGTCTCGGATGTTATTAGTTACCAGTTTACCAGTTTTGGGAAATAAGAGGATCCTGGCACACTGTTGAACGGTGGTCAACATGAGATCACGGGGTCAACCATGCCTTCATGCCAATGTGTGAAGCCCATTTCTGGTTGGATGGTTGGTCGGTTGTTTTTACGCCGCTCTCAGCAATATTCCAGTTATATGACGGCGGTCTGTAAATAATCGAGTCCGGACCAGACTATCCAGTGATTGATATCATGACCATCGATCCACGCAATTGGGATCGATGACATGCTTCATGCTGGTCCAGACTCGCTTACTTACAAACCTCACTGTCAGAGATTCGAGATAACAATAGTATCTGTATATCACCTCACTGTCAGAGATTCGAGATAACAATAGTATCTGTATATCACCTCACTGTCAGAGATTCCAGATAACAAAAGTATCTGTATATCACCTCACTGTCAGAGATTCGAGATAACAATAGTATCTGTATATCACCTGTCAGAGATTCGAGATAACAATAGTATCTGTATATCACCTCACTGTCAGAGATTCAAGATACCAATAGTATCTGTATATCACCTCACTGTCAGAGATTCGAGATAACAATAGTATCTGTATATCACCTCACTGTCAG